GTACCGCCATTAATGGCCAGTCAAAAAGTGGCTAAGACAATGAAGCTCCCAATTACTTCAATGAAAATGTCATTACTTCAGCGAAAAACATAAATTGCCTCAGAAGGAGGATGTTCAAACTGCCTTGGATTATGGAAAACACTCTAACTCAGAGAGTGAAGAGGAACTAGGTTAAAGAGTGATTGCAACACCGCCCTGTACCATCGATAGCAGACCATTGACATTTCATTCGTTCTGTTATCAGGAGTTACACATAGCGCGTGACTCAACGTGAAAAGAAGAAGATCAACAAGGCAGCTAGAACGGTTGACGGATGAACGTTGCTCTTAGCAGTGCAAAAGTTGTCTGGTACGTATGGAATGCACGTACATGATGCCAAGCATGTTGCTAGTTCTAAAAGAACGTTTCGATATATGTGCTGAGGATTTCCAGCAGCTACTGAACACATGTCTACTAGATTTGCACCTTCCAATTTTTGCAACGACATCAGATCTTAGTGCGGATTTATCCGCAAAACCAGATACCCATAACGTATTGGAACGACCTAAGACGAATTAAATGATTGATATGGTTTGAATTCCTTTCGGCTAACCATATATCTTCTTCTTCCATGACCGCTTCTCCTTTTGGATCGCGGAGGCAAACGTCAGACAATTCTTCCACCGTTCCTGATTTTGTTCCACAGTCTGAGGTTCGGCAGAGGACAACTGGATTCTGGAACAGACTTCTTCCATATATTTCATCTTCAACGTCACCTTCTATCGCCGCATCTCCATCCAGGTCGCGAGGTAGACGCGTCAGACAGTGCTTCCAACGTTCCCTGTCCTGTTCCAGAGTCTAAGCTAGCTAACCAAATATTAAGGAACAAGAAAACAGAAAACTTCACTTTCTCTATCAATTATCAACCTCAAAACGTTTCTTGATAGAATGAAAGTCTGGAATAATACTTCCGATACTAAATCGGAGCATGCAACCGGGCCTGAAACAGTCGTGGTATTATGGTACTGTCACCCTCCGCAAAACCGTTCCACTAGATCTTTCTGCAAAAATTGAGAATGGCAGCTTATGGGAAACTTCGCGCAAATTAGGCAGGTCTGGAGGGATGAGTGACTCCTTCTCTGGCCATATTCAACTCCGCATAAAATTTTTGTGCAATGTCGATTATTTCAGCCGCCTTGTTCTGAGATTTGCCTTTAATGTTTTTGATTTAATAATAAGTCTTTTAACCATGTGCAAAATCTAAAATGTCCAATGGATACCTTAGCACATGGTTTTGATTTTAACATTCATGCAGGAAAAAAGAAAAGAGGCATGTGCCACTGTTTGAATGTCGGTCTTCCTTCACTTTCATGATGACTTGCCATTTTGGTGCCCTATTTTCATGAAGTTGTTGATGCTGCTGATTTCTGTGTATACGTCATTAGCCAGGAGTGCCATATTTTATTAAGCAGAATCTATAGCCATGTGGCAAGCGTAGTTTTCCTTTTCCTTCCCACAGAGTGGTATTCAGAAGGAAGAAGGGAAAACTGCAACGACCGAGAATTGAACTCGAGATCTGTCGATTCTGAGTTCGACTTTCTCTCGACTGAGCAACCTAGCTCAGAAGCAATGTGTGGTAAATTCCTTGCTCAATAAAGTTCTTCAATAAGACAAAGATTACCTCGATTGGAATCGAATTTGGCACTTCCGGAATTTCGAAGCAGACCATTTAGACACTGTGCCAGCACGCTGACGCATGCAGGAAACATGTCTGTCGGTAAGCTCAAAGTTTCCACGCAAAGCGTGGATTTTTCCAGAGAAATGTACTTTCGTTTTTTCGAGTGTTCTCGACGTTCTTCTCTGAGACAGCGCTGATCTGCCAAAAACGAATGTCTTACTCCATGGGGAAGACGCAGTTCATGCTATCCGACCAAATCTTCTTGGCCTGGAGTCCGCAGTCATCGTCACCTGAGGACTTCCGTATGCAACACAGCTAAGAAACTTAGTGTTTTTTGCATAAAGAAGTTAAACCTTATGAAGAACCCTCCCGACACACTGGATCTGCAAGTCGAACAAGAAGGTGAAGCTGACGATAGGTTGACCTGTTTAAGAATATTGGTTGGCAACTGTATTTTTTCTACTCATCAAACCATGATTTCACGTTATACTGATCAAACCATGCCTGCAATAGGCATAACAGCGTTATCAAGGTCGGAAAGGCTATTGAATAAGATATTAATAAAATATCCAGATGAAATTTGAATGAAAAAAGAAATTAACGTCATGATTTTTAATAAATAAATGGATATGTGAAGGAAATAGTTGCATCAAATATATTTTAATATATTTTACATGGATCTAAATACGTTTTATATAGGCGATCAGTTGTCTCAAACGAGCACATTATCTGGCGCCACTGAACTGGAAAATTGCCTATAATTTGGGTCTCGTTTACTTAGAAACTGAGCAGTATGCGTCAGCATTCAACTATCTCAGTGCGGCCGTTAATTTATCGGCTAACGATGCTTCTGTGTTTCTAGCTCTCGCAGGTACATATTTACATCTTTGATCACTAATTTCAATTCCAAGAACCTGCTTTAGTTAGCCTAGAACTCCTTGACGACGCGGCGAACGCTAGCATCGCATATGAAAAAGCAGCTAAGGCAGATGAGTACGTATTCAGCCATTAATTTAAACAGACAAATAAATTTAAATTAATGTTTCAAATTCGCATTTTCCCCGTATAAACTCAGCTATTAGGCGGATCAAAAGACACTCCACATCTTAAGGTCTGTGCTCGGAAGGTTTGACCTTACCAATACTCTGTGATCACAGATTGGCGTTATGCATCCCCAATTTATCTTACCCCATCGTTATGTTATCCAATTCTCAATTGATAGCGCTGTTGCACAACGAGATGAAATAGTTGTTCAAGGAAATAAACGATTATAAAAATTCGTTTCGTCTAAATGGCACAGAGACGATAAGATGCCCATGTGTCACCGATCTTCAAAATGCCCCGTTAATCTTAAAAGCTAATTTGTGAATGCTTAAGCCATTGGAGTCTGCTGATATAAAATGAGTTTAATCATTGTAGAATGTTTGCATTTAGCAAACCCTGCTACTCTTTCTTTTGTTAACACAACAAATCGTCTTCCCACCTGGCTAGGAGAGGCTTGGCAAATCCTCTCAGCAGGCAACGGCTCCATAACTCTATGGCATCCGCACAGATGCAAGACCAAATGAGCTAGTTTGATCCAAATAACAGTCTGTTCAAAGTAACAATACGAGCGTCTTCTAAACTTATAGAAGAACAGGACGGTGCAATTATGCCTTGCAAACTAAGAGAATTGACCTGCGCTAGTTATTGCCACAAGCAATATGGAAAACTCAGTTTGCAAGTGTAAATTCACGATTCTGTTGGGTTCTTCTGAGTTTTGTTGTATAATGACAAACATTAACTATTGCTGAAATGTAAAGTATCTAAGAAACATTTCAATGCTGACTAATTGAAGTACGGAATGAAAAATAAATAAGATTTCTCATATAGAAAGTTTCGTTTGTGCGTTGGTGGTCATCCTGAAAAACAGCACAAAATCCTCTTTATTAATACAAAGCGTGGAGTAATAAGCTCAGTCAGATAATTGACCAATACCAACATTTTGGCTCGTGTCTCATGCGCCTTCTTCAAGGCAGGAGGTTGAAAAACTTTGGAAGTTTCTCTTGTTGTTCACCACAGTTTTTAGGTTTAGAACCAGAAAACCCTCTGATATATTTATAACCTTCGGTTAGTTCAGTTCTAAAGTAGGCGATAGTCGAAGTTCTGCAGCATGTCAAATCTCGTCAGTTAAGGTTCTGCAAAACGGCACTTCAGTAATTAAAAATATACATGCACTCACCGCTCTGAAGAACGCTGCACATTATTCATCATCGTTATTTCATCCTGGTTTCCTACTAATTTTGGTAAAAAAAAACATTGTTTGAGGGACATATGTCCTTTTATGCTGAAGCAGACTGAGAACGTTTATCTGAAAATCCTGTAATATACCAGTAAGGAGTGACTAGCTTATCAGCAATAATTGAGTTGATCCCACCCTATAATGGGGAGGTTACTACTCAGGTTTGGTTCAGCCAATGCATTAAATCTGTACGGCAGTTCGTCGCTCACTTTAAGAAAGCTGCAAAGGACACCAACAAGGTGTATGCGAAGAGTCCTACCAAGTGCAGACAAGATATTTTTTCAAGTGACCAATGAGTAGTAACTTCTGTCCAACCTAATAGCACATTTTCCTGCAAATTTGACACACTGTTAATCCCCGCTATTCTTTTGGAATTCTTTCCTAACAAAGGCAACGAATAAGGAAGCTCTTTTACGATAAATATTGTTAAACGGGCTAACGTTCCAATTCGCTGCGACCCGGTCCCTGAGAAGGCAATAAGAAATTTTCTCTTATGTTAAACAGTGGAATTCAATGTGGTCATGGTCCCTTTTCTGATATATAATTGTATATGACGTTGTCTCTAGATAAAGAGATAAAAGATATAGAACAATATAAACTGCATAATACTATAACTCTTTTTGTGCTTTAATATGCAATAAAATAGGGGCGCTCATGCTACCTGAAGTGAACTGCGCTGTCTTCGCGAAAATATTTGGCTAATCAGTTTTGGGTCCTAGATAAGCGAGTCTTCGGTAATGAATGTTAAAAACTTGTAAAACAATATATTCCCTCACTGAACAAAGAGTAAGCAAAACTGACGAATATTGGAAGACGCCCTTCGATAGTCTTGGCATTTCACTTAACTTATTCTACTTATTCTAGTCATTTCGCTGTACTATGCGTTTTGAAGTAATCAGCTGAAGAACAGTAAGTACGCAGTGTCAATCTGAAGCTGTTGCTATTATTATTGTAGTTTAAAATCAAACACCTCAAGTACAGAGTTGAGTATTTCGAATTTGTCCCTTCTGATATGATATGATTTCTGATATTTATGCCATGAGGTGGCAATTGCTGCCTGAAAGACAGTATTTCTCGTCACAACTATTTCTGCTGACGTTGGAAGCGTGCCATGAATTTTACTGTTTTCTGATGCGGTTTTCATAAAATTATGCTTTCAGAACAAGTTTCCGTTTCCCTTTTGAATCACTTTGCCAAGTTAGGCCAAGCACGACCTTACTGTTCTTTTGACAGTTTTTGCAGGCCAGTGGTTGTCATAACCTGTTTTTTCGCTACATGAATGTGCCACTGCACTTTCCGACTATTCCGCAAAGATAACTGTTGGAAGTTTTCAGCTGACCTTCGTGGCTTTCGATGTTTTTTCATTTATCCAATTAGACATCAACGTGCAAGTAAGATTTCACTGTTTTGTTGCGCAAATTACTGAGCCAATGACAAAATGCAATACAAATAGTTGTTAATTTTTATATACACTTCCTGTTTTGTTTAAATTACTTGGTAACGATCTTGCATTTTCTTCATAGAAGTTGATCACCAGAAAACCCTGCATTCTGCATTCAGAATAGCATATAAATCACCCTGAATGATCGAAAAGGAGAGTATCACTAAACAATTTTCATACTTTAAACACATAATTCATCACATAAACTTGTCCCTTAACCTAACTACCTCGAAGCCAGAACTGTGAGGGAGTAAACTCAGAATGCGAATTTAAGAATTGTAATTATTCAACTTTATCGAGCAGTTCTATCATTTGAAACGGTGGTAACTTGTCAGTGATATCTTTCTGTTTCAGAAACAACAGGTTCATTGTTTATAATTGCGCTGCATTCTCATTTCGTCAAAACGAATTGGGCAACGCCATTAGCTGGTTAAATAAATATTATGAACTGACTCAAAGGCAACAAGAACAGAGTCGTTTGGAAACTTCAATGATTGAAGTAAAACTTTGTCGTTCATGTGCATTTTTACTAGAATAATCTTTACTTTCAGCTAGACAAGCAAGCAGCAATCCTTAAAGAAACAATTGCCTGTAGCGGCAAAGAAAAATCAGATTTTCGTTGAAATCTCTACTTAGATTTGTCCAACTGTTCGGAAAATTTATCTGGCGTATAGGACATCCGAAAGATGCTCTAAAATTACCTGCTCTTCATTTCCTTTCTTTTGTTCGCTGTATAAAAATTGACTCTTTCAGTAATAGCCAGAAAATAAATGTCGTTTTCGTCGCATTCATCCTTTTGAACAGTTTCCTTACGCAGAATCTCACTGGTTTGTGATGCCTGCGGTATTTGCGATTTTCAAGATTTTTGTTTAAAGACGATAACTACTGCATCTTTAAAGGAATTGTTCCTTTTCGAACGAACATCTGCCGCTGGCTTTTTCGCCCATGTTGCACACCGGTCTCTTCGTCGACGTCTACCCTGTCGCGGATCCCACGTGAGGAGCTAACGGTCAAACTAAGTTGTTTGTGTTCAGTCAGTTTCCTTAACAAGACCAACCTCCTTTTCTAACTCCACAGTTACGGGGACACCTGTGCCCGGAAGAAAATAGAGCCATTCCTTACGTGGTCCTCCCAGTTAATCTCCATTATACATCGAAGCCAACGTTGCTGCACGCAGTTCAACCATCGTTCTTTGTCCTTCGTTAGAACAACTTTGTCAATACTATAAACAAAACTAGTCTGAGTGAAGCAACGTTCAGGCAAATTTTTATGGAATATGAAACTCCTTTCATGGCCCATATATTGCACAGATTGTCGAAACCATGGCATAGAAGGACGATTTTCTTATACAACTTCGATTACATGGTGCATAGCGCCGAAGAAGATGGGATCGAAAGAATTAAACTGATCAACCTATTCTACTATCTCACCTCACGTTCCACCTGTGAATCTATTGTGCCGGATGGCTTTTTTCATAACTATTGATTTTTTGGCATTAAAAAAGGTGCCGGCATTCACAGCTGCCGGATGCCACCAGGGAAGTAAACTCGCGTTTTGCACATAGAATAATATCATATGCTTACTCCAGATGGGCAAGATGGATGACAGGAGAGCATGAATTACACCTTCCCCCTAAAATGAGTCCTAATCCTTGACCAGGTTCAGCCCTGTTACAGCGGAGAATGTCCAGAAAAAGTGTTGTGCTTGCCAAAGAATCCCTCGCCACTTTTCCATTGCCCAACTTTTGCGTTGTAGTCTCTACAGTGATGGTGTATGACGATTTTTGAGTAAGCATTTCTTCAGACTGTTTGTAGAATTTTTATCATCTTATACTTCGCTTCAACACTTCAACACATAGAAGCATAAATCTGGACGAAACTGAAGATGTGATTCTTTCTCAGCTGTAGATAATGTTTTCTGTTCTGATATGTGATAACTTCAGCTGACTGGAATTGACTCCTTAAGACCATTTCTTGCTGTCAATGAAGTCGACTCCTCCAATCGTTTTCATGCATTATCCTTTTCCCAGCCTGATGATATTGCAGTCCATCCAATTACCCTCTAATTCTTGCTTCCTAGCGTTTCAGAGACCGAGTACGTCGCAAATTATCTTGGACATTTTTTGTCATCTGACGGCTGATCGATTTTC